CTACCTAACCCCCCACTCCTTCTCTGCTCTCCCCACCACAGTCTGACCCCGAATTCCGCAAGCAACTGTGGGACAACTTTTTCGGCAACGAAGTAGAAGACATCTCGAGGTACTGCTTCGAGGCGGGGACGCTCATGGGGGTCGTGTATGTCATCTTCCAGCAGGGAGAGGAAATCATGAACCAGGGGCTAGTGTCATTCATGAGAGGCCTGGTAAGTGCTCTTTGGCATGATGTTATTGTTTTGTTTGTTATTTTATTCGTTTATCTGTTTCACGTTTTGTCTGATTCCCATTTTTTTTTTTTTTTTTTTTTTTTTGCTCGATTTTTTTTTCTCTCTTTCGCTCTCTCGGTCTTTGGTAATTTCGTTCTCTCTGTTTATCTTCTTTACCCGCTCTTTCGCTTTCTCTCGTTCGCTCGCGCTTTTGCTCTTTCGCTCAATCGCTTTCTCTCTTTTTTCTCTCTCTCTGTCTTTGGCTTTTATTTTCTAGCTCTCGAGATTTATCTATCTATCTATCTCTTCCTCTCTTTCTTTCTCTCTCTTCTTTCTCTCTTCTCTTCTCTATCTATCTGTCTATTTATCTATATTTCTCCCTCCCTCTCTCTCTCTCTCTCTCTCTCTCTCTCTCTCTCTCTCTCCTTCTCTCTCTCTCTCTCTCTCTCTCTCTTCTCTCTCTCTCTCTCTCTCTCTCTCTCTCTCTCCCTCTCTCTCTCTCTCCCTCCCTTCCCTCTCTATTATCTATGTGTCCATCTCTCTCTCTTTCTTTTTCTCTTCTCTTCTATCTGTTCTATTTATCTATATTTCTCCCTCCCTCTCTCTCTCTCTCTCTTCTCCTCCTCTCTCTTCTCTCTCTCTCTCTCTCTCTCTCTCTCTCTCTCTCTTCTCTCTCTCTCTCTCTCTCTCTCTCTCTCTCTCTCTCTATTCTCCCTCCTCTCTTCTCTCTCTCTCACTCTCTCTCTCTCTCTCTCTCTCTCTCTCTCTCTCTCTCTCTCTCTCTCTCTCTCTCTCTCTCTTCTCCTCTCTCTCTCTCTCTCTCTCTCTCTCTCTCTCTCTCTCTCTCTCTCTCAGTCTCTCAGTCTCTCAGTCTCTCAGTCTCTCAGTCTCTCAGTCTCTCAGTCTCTCTCTCTCTCTCCTCTATCTATCTTATCGATCTCGCTCTCTCAGTGACACGATTTAACTATATATCTATTTATCTACCACTGAGAATTTCACGAAACTCAAGCTTATGATTTGTTCTACAGAAATATCTGATTATAATTTTTAAGAAAAGAAAAGATAAATATAGAAAAAAAATATATAAATCTTATTATTTTTCAACAGAAATAACTTTGATTATAATAATAAAAAATGGAATCTTACTCACCTTTAGTTTTCTCTCTCTCTTTATCCTCCTCTCTCCCCTCCACTCCCCCCTCCTCAACCTCTCACCTTTCCCCCCCTTCCATCCCTTTCTCCCCCCCCCCTCCTTCGACTCACCACCTTCTCTTCACTCCTTCTTTCATTCCCTTTCTCCTACCCTTCACCTTCTCCCCTTCCCCTCCATCTCCCTCCCCCCTTAATCATTCATTCTTCTCCCTTCCTTTCCAACCCCCCCAAACCCCATCACTTCCACGCCCCCACACCCCCCACCCCCTCTACCCTTCCCCCTTCCTTCACCCTCTCCCCATCCCCTCCAACCCCCTCCTCCCCCTTCTCCCCTCCCCCTCCAAACCCCCTATTCTCCTCCAACCCTTCCCCCATACCCCTTCCTTCACCCTCTCCCCTTCCCCCCCCCCATCCTTCACCCTTCTCCCCTCCCCTCCCAAACCCCCTATTCTCCTCCAACCCTTCCCCCATACCCCTTCCTTCACCCTCTCCCCTTCCCCCCCCCATCCTTCACCCTTTCTCCTTTCCCTACACCCCCCCCTTTCCTTTCACCCTCTCCTCTTCCCCTTCAACCCCCCTATTCCCCTCCACCCCCCCTCTCCCCCTTCTTAACCCTCTCCCCATCCCTTCAACCCCCTCTTCTCCCCTCTCCCCTTCCCCTCCAACCCCCATATCCTTCACCCTCTCACCTCTCCCTCCAAACCCCACCCCCTCTCCCCCATCCCTCCCCCTCGCCCCTCCAACCCCTCCCCATACCCCTCCCTTCTCCAACCCCCTATCCTCCCCCCCTTATTCCCCACCAACCCCCCCCAACCTCCCCTATCCTCCCCCCTATTTCCCCCCCACCAACCCCCCCTCTCCCTCCCCCCTCCCCCCCCCTCCCCCAACCCAGGTCGGCAACGCCCCCAAGGCCATCTTCCTGTTCTCCAACCTCCTCATCATGATCGCCGCGTCCCCTGCCGCGTCCTCTACTTCTTCAGGGCCGACATGGACCCCGTCTTCCGAGCCCTCGAGGACGAGCTCATGGCCTACGCGGTGGCCGGGTCCTGGTTCATGGCTCATGTTCTTCGCCGGTGAGTGTGAGGGGGGGGTTGGGGGGGAGGAAGGGAGGGGGAAGGGGGGGGTGGTGGGGGGGG